TATTGGAGATGAGGTCAGACAATGGGACTAATTGCGTTGCCACTGAAAGATAGCTGAAGGAATCTATAAAAGAGTGGAATCTGAGCAAAATAGAACAAGCCCTCCAGCAAAACAGGGATGCAAACTCATCAGGTATGAAAAAGGTGACAAGGATCCGAGCCCCCAAACCCCACGGAATATCAGCTTTAAAATGAGGAATAACAGAGGATTTTAGCAGTCAGAACAACTAAAGCAGTTCATAATAACAGAAACGCCAAAGAGTCACATCTAATAGAAATGTATAAAAGCATTTATTTTAATTGTGTAGCAGTCAGTTTATAATTTTGGCAGCACTGTTGAGCATTTTGAAAATGTATTTTCATGCCTCTGTGCAAGGCTTAGTCTTTCTATCTTTATAGCCAGTGGTGTAAAGTAACTAAATTCATAAACTCAAGTACTATACTTGGGTACAATTTTGAGATACTTGTACTTTATTTAAGTATTTCAATGTTTTGCTACTTTGTTCTTCTTCTCTACAGTTCAGAGGTAACTGGTGTACTTTTCCTCCACTACATGTATTTAATACCGTTAGTTGCTTCACAGATGTGGATGAATGATGTGAAATATAATCAAGTGTTAAATCAGACTTTAGTTCCGCCTGGAGTAAATTCACAAGCTACCCTGCAGTATACAAAGTCATTCAAACTAGCTGCACCTTTACCAGCTTTGAGAATACTTTAATGATCAATCATTATAAAACATATCATATATATTATTCTGAAATGGACCAATCTGCACAATGACTACTTTTACTGTCGCTACTTTCACTATATTTTGATGATAATACTTTTTTACTTTTACTTGAGGAACATTTTGAATGCAGGACTTTTACTGTAACAGAGTATTCCTACACTCTGGTACTTCTACTTTTACTCAAGTACAAGATCTGAGTACTTCTACTTTTACTCAAGTACAAGATCTGAGTACTTCTACTTTTACTCTAGTACAAGATCTGAGTACTTCTACTTTTACTCTAGTACAAGATCTGAGTACTTCTACTTTTACTCAAGTACAAGATATATACTTATACCACCTCCGTTTATAGCCTATGAAAATAACTATTTGAAAACGAAGGCTAAAGCTAACGTTAGCAGATAGTGACAATGTATGCTAGTTAGCTAGCTCAATGATTCCTTAAATAATATTGCGACAGAAAAACTTTTCAGTGCACATCACGCTCTGCCGCTCCGACAGGGAGCTCTGCTCTGAACACCTGAACGGCCCGTTCAGCTGTTCACCAGCGGTCCAGTCTGTGCCACAGTGACTCCGGACCGCACAGTTAATATTAACGAACGCACCGTAGGTAATGTAGCTGCTGAAGCTAGACCCTCATCCCGGAGCAGCAGAGCCTTATTATACATCCATGAGCAGAGCCGACAGGCAGGAAGACTCGAGCACACAGCTCGCGCTTCATTATAATATATAAAAAAAAGAACACCATGCGTGTCATGATGGCACATAACAGCTCGCGGCCGCAGATTACTCCGGGTCCCAGACCCCCCCCATACCCCAAAAATATTTGTATTGCAGATCTACATGAATCACACAAACGACCTATTTTGGATTCAAAATGGCGAATTTCGCCGAAAGGTGACAAGTTTGCATCCCTGGCAAAAGGATATGAAATGGACCTTCAATCCTCCTTACGGAGCACATCATGGCGGAGTATGGGAAAGACTAATCTGGCTTGTAAAGAAAATTCTGCTATCCATCACAAAACAACAAACACTTGACGACGAAAGCCTTTCAACAGTTCTGTGTGAAGTTGAAGGAATTCTCAACAGCCAACCAATAACTACAGTGTCAAATGATCCAAATGACTTGGAACCTCTCACACCAAGCCATTTGCTGCAGTTCAAGGTCAAACCTGCGTTGCCCCCAGGCTTATTCCATCAGCAAGATACATACTCAAGTGCAGTACATAGCAAATTTGTTTTGGGCCAGATGGATCAAAGAATATACCACTTTTGCTAGAAAGACAGCAATGGAATCGTATTAACCGGTTTAGCCCGAGAGCCCCCGGTAGAGGGGGCTGCAGGTTTTATTTTCTTTCACAAAACTGTTTTTAATATTTCAAAACCTATTAATGTGTCATACCAGATTAACGGGAATAAACTCAGCTAACTGACAGTACGAACCATTTTTACCAAAACAAAAACACAAGTCTCATAAGAAGCGTCTAAATGACCCCTGAGCGAAAAAATGCTAACGCACAAGTGCATTAGCATTAGCCCCGCGCACCAACGGAGAGAGAATAACTTATGGCAACACAATAAAAAACATGGTAGCGGTGGAGTGATGAGGAGGTGTCGGTGTTTTTCGCCTGTCGTCTTTTCTGCAGACTTGTCAAAATAAAAGTAAGCAAAACACTACTTTTGAATTCATTATTGAAATGTGTGCATAATAGGGGTGTAACAGTATACGTATTTGTACCGAAATTATTCTGTATGGGCCCTTCGGTTCGGTACACGTGTGTACCGAAGTGTACCGAGCGAATATGACGTTAAACGTAAAAAGTTGAGAACGTGAACAACTTTTTGGAAGTAATCTCAGGTGCTGTGACGCAGCATTCAGTGTAATTTGCTCACATTGGGTTCAACACGTCATAGAGCGACTAAGTCATATCTTTGGACGAGAGGCATACTATGAGAGCTGGTCACAGGGATGCGTTCAAATGTAGTCAGTAATTTGAGGAACTGTCGAAATGGCGAACGCAAATAAAGTTGAGCTCGAAAATCCTCCAGCATCATTGAAGTCTCCGGTTTGGGAACATTTTTGTTTTGCAGTTACGTACAAGGATGACGGACAAAGACAGGTGGACCGAACCAAAGCTGTTTGTCGGCATTGTTCAACTAAAATTGGTTACGCGGCTGGCAATACATCAAACTTGCACACTCATTTGAAAAGGCCACCAGCAGATGACAAAAACCCACCTCTCCGCCTCTTCCAAGGAACGAGGGGACCGTGCGGCAGAGTTTCAGTTAGGTTTTCTTTCGCCGGTCAAGATGTCCGTTAAAGTTTAAATCTTCCAGACAAAATTAGAAAAGTGCCGGTCAAAGGTCTTCTTTGTTATTTATTGAGCTTTAAAACAAATGAATAACGACTCTATAGGCCTATAATAACATGGAGGACGGAGATCTATTTTTCTCCCCCTCTTCTGACTTCATCAGAGCACGGCTCCCCTCTCCTGCAGGGGGGCGTGGTCAGCTGCAGCTCACAGAATCAGCCCCGTAGACAGCAAACAGCAAATAGAGCGAAATGAGGCATGGCTAAAATGCATGATCTGTTTGGAATTTTGAAAACAGAAACGTATAAATATAGCTTATATAGGTATGGCCCAACAATATATCATTTAAATATGGCATGATAGGTCCACTTTAAGTTATAAGTTAGCAACATGTAGGTAAATTAGGCTCGATACATGAATATGCTTTAACCTGTTTCACACCTTCCCCCCGGTACCGGGCGGATAAACGCGTCATTTGCAGTAAACAACGTCTAAGGAATCTTAATATTGAATAAAACTATGAATGTGTTGTATCCATGTAACGGGAAGAAACTCAGCTAACTGATCTTTTTAAAAAAAAAATTCAAAAAAACCCCACATTGGTAGCACTCAGCCTCTGAATTAGCCTCAAGCGAAAAAAAACGTAACATACTAAGGCAACTAAACTCACTCTAACTCCCTTATTACTTATCCTAGATGCACAACCAACCACTCTTTTTTGGTGTCCTGGAGACACTGAATCTACCGGTGCCCTCCTCAACACTCAGTGATAAACATTCGCGACGCTCTAAACGAAAGCGTACATCATCACATGTGGAGCTAAGAAGCTAAACACGTAAATATGGCTTACCTTGGTCAAAAGTGGTCTTCAATGGCATTAAAACGATAAAAAAAACGATGCTGCAGTTAATCCATAGGTTCATCCTATGTGTCTGTGCCTTCTTTGAAATTATTTCTGATAATCCATAAGCAATACAACTGCGTTTTAGTTTCCAAACTCCAGAAGGAGACATTCCTCCAGTTTGGTTTCGTTTTCCACACGCGAAGCAACCACATTTTTTCTTTACAACGTGTCTGGGTGGGAGCCTCCCCCTTCGATTCTATTGGCTCTAACGGTCACAAGGGTATGTCAACCAACCAAATCGAGCAAGGGGGGCCAGAGATAGGTCAAATCCACCCAAATGACCCCAGATGGCCCAGTTTTTGGCTAAATCTCTCTAAAAAGGTCAAATTTCACTTGTTTTGCATCAATCTTGATACAGGGTACTTATTATATGTTGTACTTTGGATTCCTAAAGCTTTTAGTCTACTAACCCATCATCCAAGGGTAGTTTTCACTATCTGTAAAAAATAATTTTTGGACGGACACTATAATTTACAGTTTTTTACTATGTAAAATCTGAATTTTCTTTAAAATAAAAAACATTTATATTGATTCTGACACTTCTACATCCAACTCACAGGTTTATCATTACTTTGAGAACAAAGATTATTAATTTAACCCTTTTAGAAGGGAAGATATGGTCATTTGTTCTGGGAATGTCATTTTCGAGCCTGAGACCTGAAAAACAGGCTCAGAGTGGAACAGGTTAAGAAAAAAACCACCTACATCACAGCTCTCTATAGGGTTTCATTTATCTTGTTGGCAGCTCATCCCTTAAAAACAGAAGTCTCAGAGTGATTATAATAAGATGAAATATGAAGGGTCTATTTCAAGCTTGTTATGAAAATAAGTTATTAGGCTTTTTGTATCAACTAAGGTTTGTTAGAAAATGTTATCAACATGAATTGACTGAATTTATTTTAAAAGTGGGCTTATTAACACATGAATTCATTATACTTTTTGAATTAGCTGAGGGCCAATTCAAAATGGCCAGCGGGCCGCATTTGGCCCCTGGGCCGTAGTTTGGACACCTCTGCTTTAAAGTGTTAATGAAGAGTAAAGGGAACAGACCTGCTCTGTGTATCCGAAGCTGAGGCTGTAAAACAGCGTCCAGTAGTTTATGGAGTCTCTCGTTCTCCTCTTTGGAAAGAGACAGCTCCTCCTCGAGCTCTGCTATCCTTTTTTCAAACCGAGCAAATATATCTTCAGGAGCAGCAGTGAGTCGCTGCTTCTTCAACGACAGCAGCATTTGGACTTTACTCATGTTTACTAGATCACCTTTTCCTGCAAACTCCGTTAAACACACCGTTTCTCTCTCCATCAAACTCTCAATCTGACTAGTGTTGCTAACGTGTTTCCAGCTAGCATGCTAAGCTAGCTCCTATAGTCCGAGGTAAACGCTCCAGAAAGAAAGAGCACAGAGTCTATTCGGAGGTGTATCCAGACACACAGATGATGGATCAGTAGTGCTGGAGCTCACAAACGCTTTCTCAGGAACACAGAGAGAGAGAGAACCGTAGCGACGAGACGCCACATGGATCCAGGTTAGAAAGAGCTGGGAACTTCACTTCCGGTGAAGACGCCTCCTTCTTCTTCTTCTTCTCTCAGTTTTTGGCGGATTGCAAACAACTTTAAGGTGCATACCGCCACCTACTGTACATGAGTTTGAATCATCATATCATTCCATCTCTTAACTCATGGACGTATATCTATGATCTAATCTAAATCTAATCTAAACAAAAAACATAAATAAATAAAACAAAACAAAACAACAATCCATGATCTATTCTAACCTAATGTTACATTATGTTTCCTACCCCAGTTTCCCTCAGAAAGGTAAACAGTGCCTTTCTGGTAGCTCTTCCTCCCTCTCCTTCTGTTCCCAGAATACCAACCACACTCCATTCCCTCTCTGCCTCTATCACTTTATCCTTTAGTTTTTCTCTTTCAGCTTTATAGATGTCACAATGTAATAAGATATGTTCCACATGTTCTTTAACTCCACAGCTCCCTCACTTGTCACTGTCACTTTTCCCCATGACATACAGAGTACCATTCAATGCTGTGTGATTTAGTCTGAGTCTAGCTATCATGATTTCCTCCCTTCTGTTTCTTTCTTTATAAATATTCATTGCAATTGTGTTTTGAACTTTATGATACTCTTTGCCTTTCTGGTCTTTCTCCCACCTTTTCTGCCAGATCTCCATCCCTTTCTTCTTAATCACTGCTTTTCCTTCTCCTTTTCCAAGTTGAACTGGTAATGTGATTTCCTTTTGTAGTGCACTTTTTGCTCATTTATCAGCACACTCGTTCCCTTTCACCCCCTCATGTGCAGGCAGCCAGCAGAACTGCAGATCTATGCCGCCTCTGTGAAGTCTTAACAGGCTATGATTCAGTTCTATGAGAATGTCTTCTCTGACAGTTGTTGTTGACTGTATGCTTTTTAATATGGACAATGAATCTATATATCACCACGCTATCTGGTCTGACCTCTTCAACCCACTGTAATCCTATTATTACTGCCAGCCTTTCTGCTGTGTACACTGATAATTGATCAGACGCTCTTTTTGAGATTGATATTTTAAAGTCTGGGATATATACCAACTCCAACACACTCTTCCTTGTTCTTAGAACCCTCTGTGTACATTTTGAGGTAATTGTAATAATAATAATAATAATTTGAATTGATATAGTGCCTTTCATAACGTCAAGGTCGCTTTACAAAGAAACATACAAGGACAAGACATAAAACATAAAAAAACATAAACATAAAACAGGGGGCAGAAATGGAAGTGTAAGTGGGGGGGGGGGAGTGAGTTATAGTTGGAAGGCGATGTTGAACAGATGAGTTTTAAGGGTTGATATGAAGATGTTGAGAGAAGGGGCGTTGCAGATTTCTGCAGGGAGGGAGTTCCAGAGGGTGGGGGCAGCGACACTGAAGGCACGGTCCCCGAAGGTGCGGAGGCGTGAATGGGGAATGGAGAGCAGGCCGGAGTCTGAGGATCGAAGGGTGCGGGACGGGATGTATGGGTGGAGGAGATCTGTGAGGTACTGAGGGGAGAGGGCATGGAGGGATTTGTAGGTGAGGAGCAGGAGTTTGTAAGTGATGCAGGACTTGACCGGGAGCCAGTGGAGGTTGAAGAGAGTAGGGGTGATGTGCTGCCAGGGCTTGGTGCGTGTGAGAACCCTGGCAATTGTCAAATAAATAAACAAATCAAATATCTGTATAGCAATTACAAATGTTTGGCATATCTGAAGCTGATGTTCTTGCAGGATTCGTGCTGTTCGGAGTTTGCATCCTCGTGGTTGATTGCACTTATTGTAAGCTGCAGAGGTGGAATAAGTACTCAGATCTTGTACTTTAGTAAAAGTAGAAGTACTCAGACCTTGTACTTGAGTAAAAGTAGATGTACTCAGATATTTTACTTGAGTAAAAGTAGAAATACCAGAGTGTAGGAATACTCTGTTACACTAAAAGTCCTGCATTCAAGATGTCACTGAAGTAAAAGTACAAAAGTATTGGCATCAAAACATAGTTAAAGTTCCAAAAGTAAAAGTACTCAATATGCAGATCGACCCATTCAGAATAATATATATGATATGTTTTGATTATAATCATTGATGCATTCATGTGTTTATCACATTTAAATGCTGGATTTATTTGTATTGTGTTGATCATTTCTACACACGGTGGTATTACTATTTTTATTTAAGTTAAAGTGCAGCAGGAGGGGACTCTTTAAAGTAGAGACACTACATAATGATATACACCTGAACATCAGCAGGAGAGGACTCTTTAAAGTAGAGACACTACATACTGATATACACCTGAACATCAGCAGGAGAGGACTCTTTAAAGTAGAGACACTACATACTGATATACACCTGAACATCAGCAGGAGAGGACTCTTTAAAGTAGAGACACTACATACTGATATACACCTGAACATCAGCAGGAGAGGACTCTTTAAAGTAGAGACACTACATACTGATATACACCTGGGGCCTCATTTATAAAGGGATATACGCTCAAAAAATGGCGTACGCCAGTTTCTACGCAATGTTTGCAATTTATAAAATACTAACTTGACGGGAAAATGTGCTGTCCTCCACGCAAACTCTAACCCATGCGTACGCACTAAGCACACAAACGGGAGAGACGAGAAACTGCGACACCGTTGGCAGAAGGAAGAATGGAGAGAAATATGTGGAAATAATACCATAAATAAAATGTTACCTCTCATTTATCAAATATGAAGAATTCATTTTCAAACATTGATTAAAGCCAATCTTAACATGATTAAAGAAACGCCTGTTTGAGACTCCTCAGTGCACACAAAAACATAACTTGGAGAAATAAATAAATACGGAAATGTTATTTAAAACCACCTCGAATATGTTGTGTTAATGTTATGAAATGTTTTCTCATAAATGATGCGGTAAGCAGGAGGACAGAATTACGTCTAAACTGACGTCGTTTTGCATTTCTATAGGTTGTAGATACGAGCATGGTTTTATATACTATCACGTTTAATCGTGTTTTATGCCGTTTGCCAAGACTCGATAAGTCGCTCGTAAAACACAGGAGGTATGGAAACTAAGAACACCATATGTGGTAAATTGTACAGCTAATACAACACAACACATTAGTTGTATTTCCTTTAACTGGTGGATTATGGATATATAGTTGCTGATCGACAGCTGGAACACAAACCACCAAATACAACAAAAATAATTCAGATCCAGTCGTCATGACTACACTCCGGAGGGATTCCCCCATCATTTCTTACAGTTTCTCATCAAGGGGCTCCTGTCCCCGGGACAAACACACTGCCTGAGGAAGGTTATGTGTATTTTTTTTGTCATTAACTTTTTTCGGACCACTTATTTATTTATTTTGGTGACGATCCGACCTCCATGCTGCTACTCTGGTTCAAACTGCATCCACCAAACAATATTATTTATCTCCACCTCCCCACAATAACCAAAATCTGACACGGTGTGAGATGTCTTTTTTAGCTGTTCTATCGTAATTTCCTGCGATCTTCTTCATGCAGTCAGTCAGAATGAATGAATGAATGGGCGTTTCTTTGACTATGTATAGGCAAATATGGGCGTTACAAGTCGATTGTGATTTATAAAGGGAAACAGGCGTAGGGAGTGCCGTACGCACTTCCCTCGCCGGTACGCAATGTTTTGTGAATCGGAAAATTGCGGAAAATGTATGTACCTATTTTTGTGCTTTGTACTACGTAAGCAACCTTCCTACGTCAATCCTACGCAAGGCGTTATAAATGAGGCCCCTGAACTGCAGCAGGAGGGGACTCTTTAAAGTAGAGACACTACATACTGATATACACCTGAACATCAGCAGGAGAGGACTCTTTAAAGTAGAGACACTACATACTGACATACACCTGAACATCAGCAGGAGAGGACTCTTTAAAGTAGAGACACTCCATACTGATATACACCTGAACATCAGCAGGAGAGGACTCTTTAAAGTAGAGACACTACATACTGATATACAGTGATTTTAGTGTCATGTGAAATCTCTGTTTCTTCTCTTAATGTTTATCCTTGTTTTAAGTTGCAAATGGTCCTGCAGTGATGCAAAAAACCTTCCAGACTTTATCTGATAATAAAGTATCATCGTATGTTGTGAAAACAGCAGCATGGGTGTTTACATCTGTGCTTTAATATTTATTTACAGTATTTTAATAATCTCACCTCATCACAGAAGTCAGCGTTCTGCGTGCACACTATTGTTTTAGGGGCACCAAACCTGAACGAAAAGAGAAGAAGAGGAGATTAATTTCAGGTTAAAAATATTGTTATTTCTGCGTCCTGATGGTTGCATTTTAGAAAAAGTCAGATTTTTTTTCTGATTTTACTTCCATTCTTGAGAGGATAATAAATACATGGATCCTGATATTGAAGACCAAGCCGGTGACGAGTGAGATTTTTCTAACAAAAACACACATGTGAAAGGGAAGAAAAATGGGAGACAGATTATATATATCAGATATATCAGATATATATCATATATATATCAGATTATATATATACACAGTATTCTGGTCTTGGACATCACTGAATCCTTTCTGGCAGGAAGATCATGGACTTTTACGAAAAGTTTTTCAGATAGACTTTCCATTTAACTTTGAATCTTAATATTCGATGATTCCTCTAAAGTAAAATATTTATTTTGAACCCTGAGTGCTGCTAGCAAGAATGGCATTACTAGAATGTGGTTAAAACCAGGAAAACCTATTGTGGATATGGGCATTGTTTAGGATATTTTGGAGGATTACCTTTGCTTTGAGATAGCGACACATTGAATATGTGACATGTCTCCATGCTTTAATGTTCAAAAAGCTCTTTATTTTTCTCGTACTAGAGGGAGAATCTCCAAAAACAGAATAGGGCCTCTTTAAGATTCACATATCATGAATGAGGCTTCAAACACCTGGTCAGGTAAAGTGTGATTACAGGTGATCTTGTGAAGTGTATCTACCTGTATATGCATTTGGAAATACATTTTGCGACAGAGAG